TTCAAAGTACCGAAATCAAGGTAAGAACTGTGGATCGGAGTCGGTAGACAGACACGCCAATAACATTTCACTAATCTCTGTGCACAGACTACAGGCAGATACACAGAGAGAGAACACAAAGCTTTGTGACTGACCAATCGAAATTCTAAAAGTTTGTACATCTTATGTTTGTTAACATGAAAAAAGATACAATTATGAAAATGGTGGTTTGTCTCCTGCGAGCTATGGCACTGACGAGTTCTGCAGTTTTCGAAATTATGTTTTTTGATGGATCTCACTCCTCTCTTGTTCTCCATTTTCCAGTCATGAGATTAGAAGGCAACAATCTCCTTTTCGTCTTTCGGAGGAGCGGCAGATATTTTTTGTGTGTGTAAAGCGATTCTGAATGCAAAACCCAACGTTGAATTTCTGATTTTCGTATGATTATTGAGGGTATAAAATATTATTGAAAGAAAGGTTTACCAAACACCATTCATTGGCCATATTTGTACTGAATTATTGTGGCAGTATACTCCTCTATAAATCGAAGTTTTTATACTGAGATACGTACAATCTACAGCAAGCAACTTTCACACTTTGCGGTCTCAACAATTACTTTTGACTGTTGAAAACCTGAAAAGTGTTCCACTAGTGTACACGATTTTTGACGCCTCATCTTTCGCAGGCGGCAATTTGACAATAATCTGTCTGAATAGTGAGGGAAATTCAAATTACATTGGCACAATAAAATATATTTTCCTAAACTTTAATAAAACACAATATTTAGAATATTACTGTCATCTGTCGTACATATGAGGTTGACTAAAAATTTGCCGATATACATGTAAGTCATTCGGCTATTGACGTGTTTTGCAATTTGCCGCCTACGCAGCAGTCGAGGAAATAGTATATCTGCTTTGACACCATTGTAGAGGTTCAATATCACTTCATATGATATAGCAATTTCTTGTTGTGAGAAGACATGAACTCAATGTGTAACATGTTTTTGCTTAATGTGTTTACTCAATGTGTACATGTATAGTGTATTCATTTTATTTGTTCTGACTTTTGGTGGGACGTATATTGCTTTGGTTCGAAGTAAAGGCCAAACACATACACAGTTAAGCTGGGAAATTAATCGTCCTCGTAATTAAGGAAATGGACGAAGAAAGAATTTCGGCCGTTTCTTCATCACAACGCTGCACAACAGCAATTTTCGCGTATAAACTATACGAAGTGGTGCAAATAATCTCTGTTCGAACTGGTGATAATGCATTAAAAAGAAGGATTTGAAGCCGGCGGGACAGCCTTGAGTACTCCCGTAAGAAAAAGGCCATATTGGTAAAGATTAAAAAAATGCCAGAACGATTGATGGTATTCACTTATTGCCTTTTTGTTTTCGCCTTATTTTGCGTGTTGATTTTTCATTTTTGCTATGTGATACGTTGGCGTTAAATATATTTTGGGACAAGCTTAGTAGTTGCAGAATTAGGCGGGGGCCGGAGGGCCATCTCCAAGAAGCAGCCGAGCGCCTTCCTGCAGCCTCGCATCAAATTCAAACCTCCAACTAAGCAAATGAGGTTGCTCGTAAATGAACAGACCGCAATAGACAACGTGGACGTGGGCAGGAAGTGTAAAGGGAGAAGGCACGAGTTAAGCGAGCCGATCAGTGAACTTGGTGTGAGCCACATCTCCCACGTCGTCTATTTAGCGAAACCCTGTCCCATGCATATCGACATTGGAATCCGGGGTTTCCTCCACACGGCACTTAATCGAGTCCAGGCTCGTTCTTCCCTAGGTCCCTGCCCTAGTCTTTGCGGCTGGTGGCGATGAAGAACGATCGCCCGATGCTCGAGCACAACCTTTGCTTAATTAGTTTTCACAATGGACAGACTGAATCAGACCCGCAAAGAAAATTCCAGATTTTTACGTGACAATATAAAGAAAAAGGTTTCACATAATCCTTGGAAACTCAGATAGTCGAAAGAACATCGATGGATATATAATACGATATAAGCAATAGCTATAGTATGATATGCATACTTTGTTGATATTGATTAATTATTATATTATTATTATTATTATATTATTATTATTATTATTATTATTATTAATTATTATTATTATATTATTATTTATTATTATTATTATTATTATTGTTGTTATTTATTTGATTAATTGTTGTTGTTATTATTATTATTATGTACAACGGAGTTCCTTATAATTTCTTTCTTTTCAAAATTGTGTTCTCTGCAAAGAAAGCAAATGACAGACGAAAATCCGAAAAATCGACAGGGTATTCCAGCCCAGAATTTTCAAGATAAGATAAAGAACCATGTATTTAAGAAAACAGCCAAAAGTGCCAGAACATAACAACAAATGGAGATCTTAACAATCCATCCTTACGAAATTTTTTCCAGGTCATCCGAATCTCAGGTCATCACGGGAGTGTAAACCAACAAGTGGCGAAATTAAGAACGTGAACGACAAACACTAATATACAACAAAAGAGCACGAAAAGATAGGAGAAGAATACACGGAAAAAAGGTATATGAGAAGAATACAAATATAGAGTAGTGGATGAATATAGATGATAGAAATAAGAACTAGAAAGATAGAAAGAACCCATTGGGCGACAAACCACTGAATAATGGAAGTCCCCGGCTGCAGATTATAGTCAATCGAACTATGTCAAAGTATACAGGAGAAGAAATCTGCGCAAACAGAACACAATTATGCAATGTGATCTATGAAAAGAAATAGTGAACAGCAAGATGTGCAACGCACTATAATATATTCCATTACCAAGAAAGTAGACAGCCGAGATTGTGACAAATACAACACAATGCATGAAACCGTGTTGAGTTCAGTCCAATCGGCAAAAAGTCTCCTGAGAAAAAGGGAAAAATAAGATTTTAAAAATGTTGTTTGATGTAATGCATATACTTTCTTAAATGTTTGCAAAAACAAATTACACAAATTGAAAGAAACATCATTTCCTATCTCCTCTGGAAAGTTAGGTGTAGATTACCATTACGTCGCGTAAGCGTTTAAGCGTAAGCATATCTCCTTAAGATCATACTCACAGAAAAATGATTTCCTTGGGTTGTTTAAACTCGTTTGATTTTCCATTTTATTTATATCTTTGTGGCCGAACGTCCATGAAAGAGTCCCGTGCAACTGTTTTGCATTACTGAAATTTCTACATAGATAACTTTTTCCAGAAAATCCACTTATAAACAAAGAAAATGAACAGAGAAACAACCCTCCTAATGCAAGCAAATCTCTAGAGTTGTCCAATTGCATCATTACCCTCTAATTCATTGCGTTAGTCTGTACGAAATGACGCACCAGAACTTATTTATTCCCTTCAAATATACAAATATGACATATTTATGTTTATATCAAAATCAATTCATTTTATATCAAAAATAATTATTTGACATTATATGATATATGCATTTATTTGACAATAATTTTTTGACAAAAATATGAACATATTTAATTTTTAATCAAAATAACTTACCAAGTAAGCTGGGATAAGTCAGATAATTCAAAATCTTTATTTCGAGCCTTTGTTACGGCGTTGGATCAAAATGCGCCTCGCCAGACCCGCATATTTACCACTCTTTTTTAAAATTCAAGTCGATAGGCTTCACCGCCAGAGTTCATGTGCATTGAGTCGTTGGTTTCAGGGTGGACGCCGCGTACGAAGCTGTGGTTGCCGCGTTTTCGATATCCATTCTTTGGCGTGCCTTCTTCAGGGCTGGTATGTCAATGGCGCATACCACACCGTACAGTTCAAAGATCATGTACTTGCATTTAAATTTGTCCGAAAGTAGCGAAAAACTTTTAAATTAGCATCAGCCCATTTACTTTGGGAAAGAGATTCACGCAGATGAACTAATTAAAGCAAGATAACATCGTTTCAGATA